CAGGCACCCACTCTAAGCAGCTGCAACTACTTGGAGATGGCATCAGGTACAAATCAAGGTCCTTCCCCCCATGCTCTGGAGCTGGGCTCCTCCAGCCAGCACTCTGGCAGTGAGTCCAGAACACTGGGAAGAGCAGTTTTCATGTAGGTGGTACCTTCCATTGCAGCCTCAGAAAGTACTTGCAAACGTGAGTGCCTGGCACTGAGCCTCTGTACTGGATGAGACCTGGAGATGGAAGCACCCAGTCTGTGGAGGCACGTGAATGACAGTCAGGCTGGCAGATAAACCCAGTACTGGGTATGGACGTGATTGCAGATTGACTTTATGAAGCAGTACTTCTCCCTGAGGAGCGTAGGGACAGAGCTGGTTCACATGAGATTCAGTGCACTAAAAAGAGTAACATTCAGAAGGACATGGTACTGTGTTTCTAGCCTTGAAATCATTCCATCCCTAACGCATTCCAACCCTCTCCATGTCTGTTTTGTTGTGCCTTTCTCCGTGTTGCCTCTTAGAAAGCATGGGAAAATTATCTTGTGGTTATCTTCTCTTCCCAGCCTCGGCCTCTGTTCACCCTCTTATCGACCCACTCGCCTCGGGATCACACCTGACCCGGATACCATACCCAGCTGGAACCATCCCAAACCCTCTCCTGCCTCACCCTCTACATGAGAACGAAGTGCTGCGCCACCAGCTTTTTGGTAGGGGATGCTCACAGGGACTGCTGGTCTCCTTTAAAGAGTACCAGCAGAGCTCCAAGGGTCAGGGTGGCCATAAGAGGATGACAGGACCGAACTGAGGTCTGTTAAACAGAGCCTTGGCATGGCATAGAACAGGCCATGAGCAAGTCATGCACATGAACAGGGCTGGAAAAGCATGCACAGTAGAGTCTCGACTGAGCAGAGGGACTATGGGTGAGGATGGAGCTGTCACACTAACTTACTTTGTTTCATCTTTGGCTGCAGCTGCACCCTACAGGGACCTGCCAGGCTCCCTCTCAGCGCCCATGTCTGCAGCACATCAGCTCCAGGCCATGCATGCGCAGTCAGCCGAGCTGCAGCGCCTGGCTCTGGAACAGCAGCAGTGGCTCCACGCGCATCACCCTCTGCATGGCGTCCCGCTCCCGACGCAGGAGGATTACTACAGGTGCATGGACCTGCTCTCCCCTCACCATGGCGCGGGTGGATGCGCTGTCCTCACCAGGACCCTGGCCTGAGGGGGCACAGGCAGTGGGGACAGGGAAGCGTTGCCCCTGAAGTGAGTGGCTGAGCCTGAGCCCACACCCAGGAGCAGGGATCCGTGCCCCAGGGGCACAGCAGTGGGTTGGCCACCAGGAAGGTCGTTCTTGGCAAGTGGTTATTCCATGGCTAATCTTGTGTGGGGTCTCATCTCTTCCCCTCTGGGGAGGGGAGGAACTGGCATGTTGCACCCATGCTAACACAGTTCCCACTAACTGATACCCCTGCCAATATACCAAACATTTGCAAGGGTTGGATGCTTTTGCCAAGACGAGGCTTTCACGAGTGAGAGGGGAAGATGTGCAGTGGTTGTTCCTTTTCAATAGCATCTCCTTCTTCAAGGCTTTGAGAAACCCTCCGAGCCAGCGGTGTTGTGTAGGTCTGCACTAACAAAAGGCAGAGGGAGATGCTGCATTGCCTTTTTGCTCCATCACCTTGTTCCTCTTCTTTCTTCCAGCCACCTGAAGAAAGAAAGTGACAAACCCCTTTAAGCGGACTTCTACTGTGGGCGTGACATCATCATGTCTTTCTCTCAAGAGGAGCAATCAATCAACCAAATCCTGGGGGAGGGGAAGCTGCAGTGACACATCCTGATCCCACCATGCAGGAGAGTGCCAGGGAAGACGGACGAACAGTACAGGATGGCATCCTGGGAGCAGAGAGCAGAGGACAGACAATGGGGAGGGACTGAAACGCCACTTAACGGACATGAACTGATCGGTACGTGATTTCAGCAGAGCTCTGGAGGAAACGGCATCAGCAGCGCACAGAGCTCGAAGCGACAATGACTGACATGAATGCAGGGTGGCAGCAGCTCCATCCTTTGTTTCGGGGGAACAGTTGCGTTAAGAAGCGCAGAGCATCGCAGGACTTCACGTGCATGATGCCACCACCTTTCCTGCTTCTGCGAGGAGGAACTCAACCCGACAGCCTTTTTTCCTCACACCCCACCCCCCTTTTAGGTGTAAGATACTGCTTAGCGATACGGAAAAGCAATGTGGGACTTGCCCCCATTCGCTGGGGTGGCTTCCTGCTCTCCAGCATCCCTTCCGATGCGGAGCCCGGTCCCAGCCATCGGGGTGCAAAGCACCGCAGACTGTTTGCGAGGTGGTGGCTGTGCTTCCTCACGAGGTGCAAAGCACCGGGAGGCTGTTTCCCAGACCACAGTCACCACCGTGATCCCCCCCAAGTCCCATCGGGAGAGCCAGCGTGGCCCAGAGCGATGACACCGCATCCTTGGGACTGTCTTGAAGATGATGGCTGCTCCCTTTCCCCTCACCCCTTCTAATTGATGTACTTTAACTCATGCACATCCTGTTAGACGTGGCAGTTTTATGTAGCAACTTGTGACCCCCTTGCCCCCTCCCATCCCCGCGTGCGTGTCTGATTTCACAATTGTATCTCTTGATTGGTCCCCATATATATATATATTTACTTAATTAACCATTAAAAGGAAGAGAAAAAAAACCAACCAACAACCCAGCTATAGAAAAAGAAACCACCCGAACAAAGTTCCCCACGCACTCCCAAGCCCCAACACGCATTCTAATAATTTATATATATAAATATCTATATGAAGATCTTAAAAAAGAGGGGGGGAAAAAGGATCAAAAAAACCCTTGCAGAAACAGACTGCGTTGTGTTCATTTCTTTTCACCGGGGCCAGGAGCTTACCTGCCCGTGCAGGGCGAGCAGTGCATGGGGCAGAAGCACGCTCTCTGCGGGCAGGGGGCGAGCACCGGGGATGCCAGCCGGGGCCAGGCAGGCGGGGAGGGGGAAGCCACTGAGCACCGCCCTGGGCCAGGGGAGGGGAAAGCCTGCGGAGGCGTGGCCTTCAGGGGGTGCCATGGCAACGCCCAGCCGTCTCCGCCGGGGGGCGGAGCTTACGCCTCGGCACCAATGGGAAGCTGGATATTTGCATACGACCAAGACGGTGAATCCGGGCCGGGCTTTCCGTGGTTGTCGCCGATGCGGGGCGGGGCGACCGGGCGGGACCGAAGGGGAAGCCCTACCGATGGCGACGTGTTGAAGAACGGGGCCCGGCGGCCCTCACCCTCGCCTTGGGGCGGGTCGGCTCCATTCGGGTGCGCCGCTAAGGGGCGTGACCTGCAGTGATTTCAGCTCTTTTAGTATTTGTCTAGCAGGTTTCCCGCCGAGCGGGAAGCCACCCCCACCGGTGAAATGGCAGAGCGGGGCGGGGCCGCGCATGAGCGGTGTCACGGTAGAGGGGTCGCGGTGCTCGGAAGCGGAGAGCAGCCGCCGGTCAGCAGCGCCCCATGGCGGCGTCTGCGCAGGCCCCGGCGCCGCCGCTAACCGCGGAGCAGGCCAAGGGTAGGTGAGGGCCGCAGGAGGCTCCGGGAGCCCTGTGTCGCGCTGTGCGGTGGTTGAGTGCGTGTTTGCTTTCCGCAGCGGTGTTGGCGGAGGTGATCAAGGCCTTCGGTTCGCCGGAGAACGCACAGCGCATGGAGGAGGCGCGGGACAACGCCTGTAACGACATGGGCAAGATGCTGCAGTTCCTCCTGCCTGTGGCTACCCAGATCCAGCAGGACGTGATCAAAGCCTACGGCTTCAGCAGCGACGGTGAAGGTGGGTAGTGCCCCGGAGCGGCGGCCCCCCGACGGGCGGCCGCCTCCGTCCTTCCCAGCCCTTCTCTCGCAGGGGTGCTGAAGTTCGCCCGGCTGATCAAGTCGTACGAGTCGCAGGACCCGGAGATCGCCGGCATGTCGGGCAAGCTCAAAGCCATGTTCCTGCCGCCCATGACGCTGCCGCCGCACGGTGCCGGTACTGGCGGAGTGGCCACCTCCTGAGCCCGGGGACCTCTCCTCCAGCCCCGCCGAGCCGCGATGCTCGACTGCTTTGGAGCAGTCGAACAGGGGGAGGTGCTGACCCGACAGGAACGGGGCGGTTTGTGCCTGCTTGTGTGTCTGCTCCTGAATAAACCATGTCTCGAAATTGCCCTTGCTTTATGAATGGACACAAACTTAGTGGTGTCTTTGGGGCACGGATGCTTCTCCCTGGTGCAGAAGCGGTTACAGGAGTGCCTGCCTTATGCCTGACAAAACCTGTGCTAGTGGTTTGAGGGGCCCAGTTGTACCTAATTCTGCAGAAAGGTAATAATTTAAGCAAAGTCTTAGTGTGAAGCCCTGGGACTTGATGTGATATAAAATAAAGTGACTTTATTTTCCATTTCAGCTCCATCTGGAGCAAGCTTTGCAAACGTGTTATCTGAAATGCACTACATAATGTGTCTGTAAACAGAAGCTAGTGCTGTTCAGCAAGTGCTGCAACTGCCTCTGACCCCCTGTCCTCAGCAGGGTGGGTGCAGGTAACTCATTCCTACCACTACCCACTGGCTGTATTGTTGCACAGTTCATTGTGCTGGCAGACATACCAGCCCTAAGGAAAAAGGCAGCAGGGAGTGGTGTGGGAGGACTGTGTCCAGTTTGGCTGCAGCCTGGGTTAGAGCAACGCAAACAACATCAAATTGTATCCCATGTCTTATGGAACTGAAGAGAGACAAAACTAGTGGGGCAGCCTTGCTCCATGGTGATGTTTGGTTTATCGGACTTGATCCAAATGAAGGGACATATCAGATGCCTCTGCTTGTAGCCTCCTGCCTCATGAGCCTGTTGTCCTTGGAAGTGTTGAGGTCTTTGGGGAGGGTGATGTGGGCCAGCATGGCAGGGCTGGGAGTGACGAAGCCGGGCCTGGGAGCACAGGTAGCTGCGAGCCAGGTGTGAGAAAGCTGTCTCCGGTTCTGCCTTCCAGTTACAAACCAGGCAGGAATGTAGACAGCAAGGGCGTGAGCTCAGTGGATAGGAAGGCAGGAAGCACAGTCGATCCCTTCCGACTCCATCTACCTCTCCCGCCTTGGCCTTCCTCCACCCCTCCCTAATTATTCATTAACTACACCCCAGGAAGTGCTTTCCGAAAGGTGAGAATTAAGCCCTCTGCGGTTTGGCTGACCTGGACTTGCCTTCTCCTCAGTCCGCCCAGGAACAGGCGGAGTTCGGGGCTGCGGGATCGGACACAGGTGAGTCACAGGAGGTGCTGCAGCCCCCGGCCGCTCTGTGGCACTCAACGCAGGAGCATCTAGCCCCTTCGGGAGGTTGCAATTCCACCCTTCGCTGTCAGGGTCTGTGGTCTCTCCCCCAAGTCTGTCTCAAGGTACTGACTTGCTCATTCCAATACTGCTTTACTTTCTTTAGTAGGACCCCCTGGTTAAGGGCTGTGGTATTTTCTCCACCAGCTGCTGTCAGTCCTCCGGCAGAGGGGATCTGAGAGTCAAGATCCTGATGCCATCCTGTGGGTGAGTGCTGTGAATGCTCCTCAGGGGAAGCAAACAGGACTTGGGGAGAAACCCACAAACACTGGCAGTAGGAAGTGGGCAAAACTCACCTTCTGATAGGAGCCTCGGCGTAGCTGAAGGGCTGGGATTGAGAGTGTTTAGATTCTTACTGCTGTTACGGTTGTGCTGTTTCACTTTGATAAAGAGCAAGCAGATTTGTGATGCCCCATTTGCTACAGGTTTTCTGCCAGTGTCTCTGTACAGAGACAGGGCAGGTGGGTGGTTATGGCTTGATTCACTACAGTCCCTCAAGTCCTTCATAGAACAGCAGGACATAAAGTCTTCAGGGTCAGTCCAACCAGTTGCTCTGCTCTGGAAACTGCAGTGGCATGATGTACAGAAATGGGATTTACTACTCTATGGTAAGAGTCTGGGAAACCACGGTGGTCCTGGGGTCCCGTGTTCCATCTGCCCATCCCGAAGCCCAGGTGGCCTTCCCTCTGTGCCAACAGCTGAACTAGGATGCGGTTCTGTGCAGAACAGCAAAACCTCCTGACTAAAATCATCTCAGTGGTGAGGATCTGAAGTATCAAATGCAATGGTGGTGCTCAAAAAGGTCTCCAAATGAGATCCCTCGGGTGCAGGGAAGCACAGAACAACCTAGTTGGTATCTGGGCAAGAGGATAGACAGTAGAATGGAGAAGTCAGTGAGTGTGATATTAAATAAAGAGCCAGCATCTGCTTTTAGGAAGGCAACTTTGTAAAACTCCAGTTTTGTGGGTAAGGCAGGTCTGGTTGAGACAGATTCCTTGGAGCTCCAAAAAATCAGTTGACAAGAGTTTTTCATCCAAGTCTTTAACTAAAGCTAAAGTTGTGGCATAAGAAAGAGGATGAAGATTTTCATGGGTGAAGAATTAGTAGAAAATAAGAACTGGAAGGTGGGAATAGGCATTCAGTTCTTTCAGCAAAGGGAAGTCATCAGTGGTCGAATCACAGGCTTAACCGGGAGTCTCTGCTGTTCAGACCTGGAAATAGAACTTGGTGAGGTGAGAAAACTGACTGGTGCTAGAGAGTTATTCAGGATAATAGGGTGGGAGCTGACTGAATAACTGCAGAAAGACCTTATGACAGTGAATGAGTGGGCAATAGAAGAGCAGCTGGAATCCCATATAGTCACATGTAAAACAGTGTTCATGCAGGAAAAGAATTCAACATTTGCATCTAAAACAATGAACTGTGAACTAATCATAACCTCTCTGGAGTAAGCCTGTGGTCATATATAACCCTGTGTAATTGCTGGCTTAATGCTTGGTAGTGGTGAACAATTAGAAATCCCCACTGTCTGTGACTCACCAGCATCTTAGAACGCTGCAGTTCTGTGCTATCTTTCACTCTTACCTCCAAAACAACACACCAGTCTTGGAAACATCTCAGAAAGGGACAGCAAGGATGATCAGAGGTGTAGAACACAGTCAGAGCCTTCAGCCCAGCAAAACACTGAGGAAGGATATGGATGTTACAGGTCAGTGTCATGAGCAGTTTGGATGGGGTGAATAGGGATCAGGAATCAGTCACTGATTTTTCTTTCTTACAACAACCAGACATTAATAAAGACGAGGCAGGGAGCAGGTTATAAGCAAGCCAAAGGAGGGAGTGTTTCTGTAGGTGGGCCCTGGAACTCCTTGCCAAAGGATGCTAAATACGTTATGGATTTGAGGGTTGACTCCACAAGTAGCTGCAAATGGAGGTTTAGGGAATACAGAGGGAAAAGAAACTCTATACATAACCTCTTCCTCTACTCCTCCTTTGACAACCACTTTGACCTCTGGATCACCTACTCCACCACCCTGCTCACAGCAGAGCTAACCCCAAAGCTGTATCAGGTTGCTCAGAGCCTTGTTCAGCTGAGTTCTGAACATCTCCAGGAGTGGAGGTTCCCCAGCTTCCCTGGGCACCTGTGGCAATTGCTGAACCACCCTTGGCAGGGGGAGCATGTGTGTAGCTTTTCCCCACATCTAATCAGGATTTCCATTGCTGCAACCTGTGCCTGGTGCCTCTTGACCTTTTAATGTGTCCCACAAAGAAGAATCTGGTTTATTGTTTGTAAACCCCACAAGTCCCCTTTTAGGCAGCTGTTACATCTCTCCTCAAGCATCTTTTCTCCAAGCTGAACAAGCCCATCTTCCTCTGTCTTTGCTGAGTTCCAGGTTCTTCACTGTCTTAGTGGCCTTATGCTGATTCTGTCCAGTTTCTCAGTGTCCTTTCTTTTACAGCAGTCCAGATGTGTGTATCTTTTAATTCACTATTTCATTTATCTTCTCCTTTGCCCTGCACTAGCTGTGGCTTGGCTCCATTAAGGTTTTACAAGATGAGGTTCTACCACCTGTGCTGTACTGAAACAGCAGCACAGGAGCAGTCTCTTTGCTGAAATCTCTTAACCTGTTAATCTGGGCTCTTTGCTACCTTGTTCTTTCCCTCTTCCTCTGTGTCCCACTGATGTTCTTTTCCTTGGGCAGCTTTTCTCCTTCAGCCAGTTCATAAGATGTAGGGATGTTTAGGTTTTAGTTTTTCTCTGCCATGGCTTCATATTGCTCCTACATAATCTTTTGATATCAGGAATTCTCTTTTGGGACTTTTGTCATTTCTTTCCTAACTAGACAATATTTCTTTCCTGTGTCAGTGCTTAGACTGGCTCTGATTTAGCTGCAGTCTTTTAGGTGCAGCTTCTACACTTTTGCATAGAAGTTGTTCCCAAGAGCCACAGGTCTCTAAGCCTTTAAACTCTCCTTATTTTTACTATCAGATTTAAGCCAGGACAGCTGGATCCCTGTACCTCCCCACATCCCGGTCCATCACGTGTGTGAAAATAGAAGCATTTCAAAGGAAGCTCCTGTAGGTGACTGGGTTGCCTTTCTAGCAATAAGGTTTAGCTTCCCACTCGTCTCCCCTGTACTTCCCTTTGTTGTTAGTTCCTGTCTTGGCCACGAGCTTTGTCTCGCTCCTTGCTAGCAGCCTGTTCAGTTTCCCATTCTGGTGGGGTGCTGCTGCTTGAGATGAGCACATCTCTTGCTGTTCCTGCTGCCCACACCACCACACAAGGTAGCCACAGTTAAAAGTCAGGCTCCTTTGCCAGCTGGATTTCCCTCTTTGGCCACTGCTTAACTCCCATTCTTTCTTGAGGCCTGCAGACCTTGAAACCAGTGCTATCAAAAAGAGCAGTCATGGGACAATGGCTGCTAGGTAACTGGAAATGGGTAGTTTTCCTTCTTTGTATTTAATTGTCCAGGTTAGCTTCAGAATGCTGCACTGGGATCTTAAAGGTCCTAGGCTAAGCAAACTTGGTGTTGAATGGGCACACTGTAGGTAGTAGCTATTTGTTCTGGTGTCTGCCTTCTTCTCTGGGCAGCTTTAAGGCTACCTCCCACCCCATCCCTTTTGAGCTAGCACTGCTCACATCAGTCACAACCTCCAGCAGGCTGTTTTGGGAAGACAGAGCTGTGCTCAGAACACTTGCCTGCACCTCAGTATCTGTGTTTGCACAGATTTCCCCCTGTGGCTGTACAGGGCACATTGAACATTTAACTGCCCAGAGAGTTCATCAGCGAAACGGAGTATGGAGGTTTCAGGTAGGTCGATGAGGGCAACCCATCAGAGCCAAGCTGTGTGGCCGGGCAGATGTAACCTGCAGTGGGGTGTCTCATTGCTCAGCGTATGTCACCACGTACTGCTTGCTTCAGCCTTGTGGGCATGTGAGTGACCTCAGGCAGCTTGGCACCATGGTAAGGGCTTGGAGGTGGGGAGCACTCATGCCTGTCATTGGCCTTTTGGGGAAGAAGGGGACCAGAAGACATGCAGCTGGGACCCAAGATGCACTTATAGAGTCAGCCCTGGTGTGAAAGAAGACAGGGAACCAGAGAGTAATGGGATGGGGGGAGGAAAGACACAAAAGGAGAAGCAGAAGTGTGCAAAGCAGCTTGGGGCTGGGGAGCCGATGGCTCAGAGCGCTTCCTGTCCCTGGAGCTGCGTGTGCCAAGCTGCGCAGAGGCTCGCACCTGCCCGTGCCCCACAGCACTGTGCAGAGGGCCAGAGATCAAAGCACCGATCCAGACACAGGTGGATGGAGAGGGTCAGGATGGACTGATGGTAGACACCAGGAGAGATGCCCGGCCAGCTCCCGAGAGGCGCAGAACCAGCGTGGCGTTGGGTGCTCCAGCGCAGACCACCAACTTCCCGTTTCTCACCAGCGCAAGCCGAGTTCTCCTCTGTGTTTTTTGAGTTGCATTGGTTGTAGACGCTTGTCCCCTTCTTCATCTGCTCTCCACGATGGTGAGGTAAGAGGGACTGAGAAATGTGTGTGTGTGTAAAGACGGGGAACCAGGAAGTAGGACAGACTGGGGGGATCAATCATCCTGGAAGCTGTGTCTCAATGGAAACCTTTCATAGCGTGAGGGAGGTTTCAGGTAGAAAGGGATGCTGCCATCATCCACATGGGTATCTCTAGGGGTGCTGACTGGGGCCATGCTTCGCTCTACAAGTCTCCATAATAGTGCCTAGTCATTTTTTATTCACTTGGTCTTCCTTCCATCTCCTCTGGTAGGTGGTTTCACCGTGACCTGAGTGGGCTGGAAGCTGAAGCCTTACTGAAGGGACGAGGTGTCCATGGGAGCTTTCTGGCCAGACCCAGTCGGAAGAATCAGGGGGATTTTTCTCTTTCAGTGCGGTAAGTGACTTGGACCACAGCTGCTGTCTTTCCAGGGTTATATACACAGGATGCTTTGATCCTCACACATCCTATGGCATCGTCTTCATTCTGTCCTTATTCCTTTGAGTTCTTCCCAAAGGACCCGAGCTTCCCAGGATCAACTAGACCCTGGGAGTTGCCCCAGGAGTTTCTCTTTTGCCTCCTTTCAGTGGGTCTGTTTGCTCCTTGCTGTGGCAGGAGGTAATGCAGAACATTTTCTGCCTCTTTTGTAACCACCTCACTGTGCATCATCCCACAGGGTAGGTGATCAGGTAACTCACATCCGCATCCAGAACACCGGGGATTTCTATGACCTGTATGGAGGGGAGAAGTTTGCCACCTTGTCAGAACTGGTGGAGTACTACACGCAGCAACAGGGCTCACTGCAGGACAAAGATGGAACCATCATTGACTTGCGATACCCGCTTAACTGTTCCGACCCTACCACGGAGAGGTATGGAGAAAGCAAAGCGGCCAATGTGTCTGTGATGAGACCTCCTCTGTGCTTCAGGTCTGTCTTTCTGCCCTGCCTGTGCCTGTATCCCCAGGGCAAACCCTGCAAAAAGTATTTCCTGCCTCCCGTAGCCTCCTTATGCTTCCACAGGGGCAGCACCCCCAGCAATAGCTGGCTATACCTTGACCCACCATAGCAGATCTACTTTTACTTCTGGTTTCCTGTTGCCTTTGCTATTTATATACTGTTCCTAAAAGCAAAGGTTTATGGTATTAGCTATGGGTCTGCAGCAGCCTGTAGAGTGACATATTATGTGGAAGACCTCAGCCTTGCCACAGAACCCCTTGGTTACTCCAGGCCTGAGTGACTCATGTAGCTGAGAGCAGGACCACGTTCCCCAGCTGTTCCTAGCCTGCTTAGTCTCTTTCCTATCTCCACTTTGCATATGCCTCTGACACCAAGTTCCTAAATCAAATCAGGTGGGTTCGCTCTTGCCACTGTGTTTTCAGGCTCTTTGATGCAGGCTGGGGAGCAGTTCATACGGTGCCCTGGGGTGGATGGGTCCTGGAAACAGGGAGCAAAGATTCCCTGGGCAAAGGGCCTGTGTATGCCCCTGCTTGCTCTGGGGACGGGGCTGCAGAGGGGCCAGCATCTGCCTGCCGGCTGTCCTCTCCACTCAGGGCCGTTGGGTTGTGGCCCTGCAGTTTCCTCCCTTCCTCTCTGCGGTTGGAAACTTCTCCCTGCCCGCAAGGCTCTTACGAAAGCTCCTCTCACTCTCTCCCCAAGTGATTTTCCATCACGTGGCTTTGAAGAGCTGGGCTTAACTGGGAGCCATTAACCCCTTCCTACCTGAGGAGGGGAGGCCTGGGGACCTCTCTGATGGGCAGGAGGGGTCAACCATTCCCTGGGGAGCATCTGAGCGCTGGCACATGGTGGCTGAATGCTTCTTTGGGAGGAGGTTCAGGAGTTAACAGCTGCCGTGCAGTGAATGCCATTGCTCCTTGCAGCACATGAAGTGAGGATCAAACAGGAATTACTTGCCCAGGCACAGTAACTGCCTGCCACGTGTTGCTGTCAAAATGATCCCTAGATGTTGTGTAGAGGAATGTGTTGGTCTGGCCAGATGCCGGGGTGAATGAATGCCCCAGCTGCTTCTGTGAGTTGGGCCTTCTGGGCTTCATTTCAGTTCTTGGGGACAGATAGCTCTAACAACGTGTAGCTCACCGTAGACACCAGTACCACTCCAGACCTCCACTGTTAGCTGTTCCGTGGGCAGCAAACCTGCTGCCACAGCTCTGGGAGCATCAACCTGGCCTAGATGGCAGTGCATGCAGTGAATGCAACAGAACATCACTGGTGCTTGTGGTACCTGCAAGGAGCAGGAGCAGGGAAGAGCATTACAAGTCAGTCTGATGCACCAGCTGCTTGCTTTGGAAATGCTGCCAGGGAAAATGGCCAAACTCAGCAGCTGTATCCTCAGCCCAGAGCCCTCTTTGAACCCATCCCTGCTGGAGGAGAAGTGCCCAAATCCCCTCCCTGATACTGAGCTAGGAGAGAGTGAAGGGGCCAGGGCTGTGGTGACCCTTGGGCTGAGACATGTTGGAACTGGATGATCCTGAAGGTTCCTTCCAGCCCAAACCATTCTGTGTGTCAGACCCAGTAGAGGCTCCATCAGAAAACGGGTAGTGGAGAAGTGGGATGATCCAGAGCGTTTCCCAGTGTCCAGAGCACCATGCAGCTCTTGGCTTTCTGTAGTCTGTATCTTTAGCTCCAGCTTCCAAGTGAGTTTTGTGGAAGCAGGACAGAGCTGCAGTTACCATGGCCTTCTGCATCTTTACTGGTCAACTCAGAAGTGTCCCCCCCCAGACCTTCTGGTGTGGTCCATGGAGACTGTGAAGCCTGGGACAGAGGTGAGGAACCAGAGGATCTGCACAGAGATGACCTGACCTGGATCAAAACCATCATTTCTGCAGGGCCAGGCTTGTCCCACGTCCCAGCCTGCTTCTGGTGCTGTCACCTCCTCCCCATCACACAGTGCAGTGGGATCCCACCAGGCACACACACTGCCCTGAGAGCTTTGTTGGGGGGAAGGAGCTGGACAGCAGTGGTGCCATTTGCACCATGTTCGTATCCCTCTGCACCCAGGGACACTCCTGCAGCAAGGCAGAGAGCCCCTTGGTCTATGAGGGATGCTCCTCAACTTGTGCTAAGAGAAGGAGCTGCAGACTGGATGTTTGCACCAAGGACAAGGATGTGCACATGGATCAGTAACAGTGATAAGTACCTGGAGCAGAATACGGACTTTAGGTGGCTCCTGGTGTCCAATCCCATGGCTAGGCTGATTGCTGCGGTATAGTGTGCCCAGGGAATGGGAGTTATCCTTTGATTGAAGAGGTGGCTGAGTTTCAGAAAGAGGGGCTGCTGGGGTGGCTCTTTAATGGATCTGATCTCAACAGAACCATCTGGATACTGCCAAATCCTATGGGAGAGTTTCTGACTTTGGTGCTTGAACTTCCAAAGCACCTTGCAGCAGAATGCAAGAATCCCAGTAGTGCTGGGAGGTGCTGAAACCCATGGACTACCCTCTCCCAACTGGTCTTCAAGCCATCGGGTGTTGCTTACCTGTGCTTGCGTGTATCACACAACTGGATCTCACTTGGTGCTTTCCCACTTTGCCCTCTGCTCTCAGCATTCTGCTCCCTGGGTCCCAAGGTTTTCTTCCCTATCTCTTTCCTTCCCCTCTCTCTGCCCCTTCCTTCCTTCTCCCTCACCCTTCCCCAGCATTGCTGTCCTTTACTCATCACTGAAGAGCACTTACCTGCATCTCCCCCCCTTGTTTCTCCTAGGTGGTACCATGGGCATCTGTCAGGCTCTGCAGCTGAGTCGCTTCTCCAGGCCAAAGCCACCCCTTGGACCTTTTTGGTGCGGGAGAGCCTCAGCAAACCTGGGGATTTTGTCTTGTCTGTCCTCACTGACCAGCTTAAACCTGGCTCTGATGCTGCACCAGCTGGGGCAACCAGTGCTGTGGGGGCCCGGCTCAAAGTCACGCACATCAAGATCATGTGTGAGGTGAGCAGTTGGGAGAGCAAAAGGAAAGGGAATGGAAGAGGTCTCTGCTGATCCCTGCTGGTCACGTCCTCAAAAGCATGGGCTCTGACAGCTTGGTTACTAGCAGCAGTGTTCCTGAAGCTGGATCCTGAAACAGGTTCTTTGTGTCCTCACCCCAGTCTGGGTGACTGTGGGCTGTGTGCTCAGCCATGAGCAGGGCTCAGTGTGACTGAGAGCTCCAGTACAAGGAGTCTGTGGTGAAGGACAGAGGAGGATTCACAATCTAAGCCTGAATTCATCAGAAGAGTTCAAAGCTCTTGGAGGAGGAGCATCTGCAAGGCCTTTATGCTTGGTCTGAAGGATGTGACCAACCTGGCTGGCCCCAGTTCTATTACTTTCATGTGGGATGGTGCAGATAGTGGAGGGAGATTTCAATGACAAGTGACTTTAAATGGGAGCTGAGAGCAATACACCTTCTGTGGGCTTCCATCCACTGAGAACAGGAGGCAGTTCACCATGCTGTGAACTGTCTTCTCTGCCATTTGACCCCCCTGCCGGAGGGAGGATGCTTTTCTGATGGCACAGGGTAGTGCCTATGGCTTTGCACCCTTGAGCATCATCAGCTTTGTCTATATGGGGTTCTGAGTGGGATATTACACATCCTTCTTCTATTTAGAACGGACGCTACACGGTTGGAGGTGCTGAAACGTTTGACAGCTTGGCAGATCTGGTGGAGCACTTCAAGAAGACTGGAATTGAGGAGGTGTCTGGCTCCTTCGTGTACCTGAAGCAGGTAAATCCCGTTTCCTCTGTTTCTCAGGGATCCTTTGGAGGGACCCACTTGCTGTTTGTTTCTGCTTTGTGTCCTCCTTTTCTCCACAGCACACAAAGGAGACTTAGCTCTCCAGCAGCTTCTCTCTCATGCCAACCCATTGTGTTTTCCCTTCCCCAGCCCTACTATGCTACAAGGGTGAATGCTGCTGACATTGAGAATAGAGTGCAGGAACTGAACAAGAAGAGTCTATCTGAGGAGGCATCCAAGGCTGGATTCTGGGAGGAGTTTGATGTAAGAAATTGCTGGGGGACATGATTCTGGCCTTGAAGCAAACCCAGAGAGGCAGAAATATGCTTTTTCATGGTTGGAAGTTACCAAGACATCAAGGGCTCGAGCCTGGACTTCCCAAGTCTAGGTTTCCTTTTCTCTTCTCTGCTCTCCCACAAGCCCATCCATGTGTCCCAGAGTCACCACTGCTCCTGTGTGTGCCCACCTCCTTTGTCATACACTGTGACCTTGCCATGACTGTTCTTTCTGCTCTCAGAGCCTGCAAAAACAGGAAGCCAAGCAGCTGTTTGACCGCCACGAGGGTCAGAGACCTGAGAACAAGAGCAAGAACCGATACAAGAACATCTTGCCTTGTGAGTCTTGCTTTTCCACCACAAAAAAACCCAAACCCAAACAGACACAGACAGGCAATGAAGAGCTGCCTCAGTCATCCCTGGCTCTGCCTCAGCCTGCTCTAGCCTTCAGAGCAGGTTTAAAGGTGTACTGCACTGAGGATGTAAGAGCTGATGGGAGAGGTCACACACTTTTCATGTCCTTGAAGGAAGGAGGAAGGGTTGCATTGTGCTCATTAGCTTCCAATGAGCCATCATAGGGGTAGAGAGATGAGAGGACAGGGTGAGAGAAGGAGAGGTGAAAATAAGGGGCATGCTGCGTGCACAGGGTAGTATGGATGAGTGGGGTAGTGACAAAGCTTCACGTGGCTCTGAGAATCAGAGCATCTCAGTGCTCTGTTTGCTTTCTCACTGCATCCCCAGTTGATCATTCCAGAGTCATTCTCCAAGGAAGGGACCCAAATATACCCGGATCTGACTATATCAATGCCAACTATATCAAGGTGAGACTCTCAAAAGATGCCTGCATGCCCAGAATGGGGGAATGCCTCTTGCTCCTGCAGCCCTCTGATCTTCCCTTGTCCACACTCAGAACAACTTGGCCAGCCCAGATGAGTGCTCCAAGACCTACATCGCCAGCCAGGGCTGCCTGGACACCACAGTCAATGACTTCTGGCAAATGGTGTGGCAGGAGAACACACGCACTATCGTGATGACTACACGGGAGGTAGAAAAAGGACGGGTAAGCAGCGGCTTGTGGTGTCTCAGAGCTCCCCTTCTTCTCCTTCAGCCATTGCTCTGCATCTTCTCTCTTTCGTGCTTTGTGCCCATCCTCACCCCATTCTCTCTGCCTACACAGAACAAATGTGTGCCTTACTGGCCAGAGGTGGGCAGCATGAAGGAATATGGTCCCTACCTCGTGGAGAACGCTGGGGAGCATGATGCATTGGAGTACAAACTCCGTCACCTCTGTGTGTGTCCAAAAGATAACGTGAGTATACCTTGTAGAGGGCTGCCATTGAACCAGCGGGTTGGACAGTCATTGGCTGTCTAAGGCTGGGAACTGCTGGTGGTGATGCTGCTGTTGAGTCATCATTGGGTTTGAGCTGGGCTTACTTTGTGGAGTCACCAAGAAATGCATAGGAGACAGAGCTTCCTTCTGGCTTCAGACCCACCTCTCACTGGGGCAGAGGCCAGGGATAGGACTGGGTTGCAGTTTTACCAGTGGGGTGTCTTGTTATTATCAGGGTAAGGCTGTGCGTGAGATCTGGCACTACCAGTACCTGAGCTGGCCTGACCACGGTGTACCCAGCGACCCAGGAGGAGTGCTCAGCTTCCTTGACCAAATCAACCAGAAGCAAGAGAGCATCCCAGATGCAGGGCCTATTCTGGTGCATTGCAGGTTGGTAGGGTTTGAAGCATTCTCCATCCCTTCTCTAGGGTGAGGTATAGAAAGTCTCTCCTGCTCCACCAGCTGTTCCCAGGACTCGTGAATGAAGAATGTGCCAGCTCTGATACTTACTTTGTCCTCTTGGATGCCCCCAAACCAAATTCTGCCTATTGAATCTGTGACTCTGTGGCATTGCTGAACAGCTTCTACAAGTGCTGTGTCCTTCCCCAGAAGCAGCTGCATTTTGTTTCAGGAGCTGTATTGCTCTGACTTCTGCTTGTCCTCTCCTTGCAGTGCTGGGATTGGCCGCACTGGGACTATCATCATCATTGATATGATAGTGGAAACAATCTCCACCAAGGGTAAGAGGACCCCAGAGTATCTTGAAGTGAGCTGGCCTACCCAGTAGGGTTGTGCCCTTAAGTCCAGCTGCAATGGATGAAAACCATCAGGTATCAGTGGGAGAGATCCTGCCACAGCCCTGAGCAGGTTGCCCTGTCCTTGCCGTGTGGCAGTGCTGGATCTCTGCACCATAGTCACTTACTTCAGCTTTTCCTGAGCTTGGGCTCTTTCTCCAGGGCCAGACTTGAAAGATGCTGAGCAGGAAGGAGGGATAGGGCCATACAGGAGTAAAGAGCATGGAGGGAGGTGGAAACTTCTTGACTGACCTCCACTGTGACTGCTTTTGGTGGAGAACTGGGAGAGGGGCCAGTGGACACGTCCATAAGCTTTCCTGATGTCTCCTGCTAGGGCTGGACTGTGACATTGACATCCAGAAGACCATCCAGATGGTGAGGGCCCAGCGCTCAGGGATGGTGCAGACAGAGGCCCAGTACAAGTTCATCTATATGGCTATCTGCCAGTTCATAGAGACAACCAAGAAAAAGCTGGAAGTTATCCAGGTGAGAAAGGGGACTGTGAGCTGAGGTCTGGGATGGAGTGCTCTGTTTCCAGGCTAGCACTGGGACCTACACACACTATGATGCTGCATCCAGGTCTGAGTCCCTGTTCCTGTCCTGAAATTCAGAGCACAACATCAGCAGCTTGAGTACCAACCCCTTCTGAACTACTAGACAGCTTTAATGCAGTTATTTTCTACATCACACCTCCACCAAGCATTGTTTGATTACAAGACTTTGCCCTGTCCTTTTGTCTTTGTCTTTCCTGTGCTGGTTCTGCAGTTGCAGGATTTTCTCCTGCTGCCTGATAAGTGGCATCTTTTCTCTCTCTTTGTAGCCTCTAGCAGCATCCAGTAGCTGCTGTTTCATATTCTTTGGCTGACATGTGGCACTCCCAGGCGTTCCAGTGGTATTGGTTGCCCCTGTAACAAGGATGCATTTGCAGCCCCCTGTGAGAGCAGTGGGCAGAGTGCACTGAGCCTGAAGCCTTCAGCAATCCACCCACCTCCACTGAGATCCTAGCACGGAGCATGGTTAAACAGCCAGAACCCTTCTTTCCCCATCTGCTTTCCCCAGATGACACTCTTCTCTGCTTGGTATTTCTCTCCTGTAGTCTCAGAAAGGGAAGCCAAAAGAGTCTGAGTATGGGAACATTGCCTATCCCCCTGCAGCAAGGAACATGCATGCCAAAGCTTCACGGAAACCCTCCAAGTAAGAGCTCACCTCAAGCAGAGGCGCAGCTTGGCCTGCCTCTGACAACAGTCTCCCTGCTGCCTTGGCAGGTTTCTTACTCTTGCTCACCTTTCCTCCTTGTTTTCCCCTGGTTTCCAGGCAGAAAGAGGAGTCAATGGTCTATGAGAACCTGGGGAAGAAGGAGAAGGCACGGAAGCAGCACTCCTTGGAGAAAAAGCTGAAAGGCTCACTAAAGAAAAAATAGGTTGCAGGTAGCCCCATGGAGGGTTTGAACCAGGGGTACAGGGCTGGGGCTCACATCCAGGCTGGGCTGTCTTGCATTATTCACCCTTGGACTGAAATTAGGTCTTTCCCTTGTTTTCCATCCCACCTTCCAGCCCTGAACCAGACTGCTTTCCAGCTCAGCTGACTGACTTCCTCGTCCCGTTCCTGGGCAGGCCAGCAGCATCTCCTGCTGCCCCTTCATCCCTCAGTAATGGAAATAAGGCCCCTTCTTCCCCTTGCTCTCTGGGCACTGGGGCCCAAGCTCACCTGTGCTGGGTCAGCTCCAGCGAACTTGAAGAAGAGTGAAGGAAGCTCCTTACAGGAGCTACATCTCTGCCCACTGCTGTGAGTTAGAATTTATCCTGTTAGTAGTGTTCCCTGAAGCCTCAGCTTTTAAAGTACAGAGGGTTTGGCCTGTTTCAGCTCAGCAGCTCTGCAGTTCAACAGGAAACTTCCTTTCTCCTTAATACCAACCTTCTGCCCTATAGAATCAGAATGGGTTGGGTCAGAAAGGACCTTAAAGTCATCCAGTTCCAACCCCCTGCCATGGGCAGGGACACCTTCCACTAGTCCAGGTTGCTCCAAGCCCCATCCAGCCTGGCCTTGAACACTGCCAGGGATGGAGCATTCACTTCTCTGGGCAACCTGTGCCAGCGCCTCAGCATCCTTACAGTAAGGAACTTCTTCCTTGTATCTAACCTGAACTTCACATTTAAGTTTAAACCCGTCACCCTTTGTTATATCGCTGATGTAACACCAGTCCCTGATGAAGAGGCCCTCTTCTCATGGTCCCTTTTCTATTTGATCCTTTGATTGGATGTTGTAAATACACCCGAATTCGATGTGATGGCCATGTTTTCTCCTTTGGTTGTAAATAAACTTGTATTTCTTTGAATGCTGAGTCCCAAAAGCTTTTTCTCTCTTTGAATATAGCTGCACTTCTGGCTCCACTTGCAGCTCTGCAAGAACTTACAAGAATGGCTCTAGCTTGATTTTCATCACTTTTCTGCAGCCTTCAGACTCCTGACCAGAACCTGCGATCAGTTATGGTGGCTCCTTGGCTTTGAAGCTTGAGCGTTGGTAGTTGTCAGGTAAGTCTGAGCACAAAAAGTCAGCTGTGACAAACTCACACAAAGGCTTCTGCACCCATTCCACATGGAATTTAACAAGAACAGATGCTAGATTCTGCACCTGGAATAGCGTAATCCTGGCTGGACGTGTAAATTGGGGAACAAGAGGCTCAACTGCAATCCTGGAGAACAGGATCTGGGCATTTTGGTTGATGGTAAGCTCTACCAGTCAAAAACGTGCCCTGTCAGGCAAAACTGAAACCATTATCCTGGGATGCATTAGGTACAGTACTTAAATCAAAGGTGATGATCCCACTATACCCAGCAGTGTTCCAGCCTCACCTTTTGGGCTCCACAATATACAGATATGAAAATATTAGTGTCTAAAGGAGGGCACCAAAGACAGTGAAAGGCCTGACTTTAGAGTAAGAGCTGAGTTTACCAGACTTGTTCTGTTAGAGGAGGCTGAGGATTGTCCTCATGGCTATCTACACTTCCCTCACGAGAGGAAGCAGAGGGAGATGCTGATTTCAGCTCTTCAGTGTCCATGCAGCTACATGATTGTCCACATTCTCTCCCACCCTGTGATCTCTCAGTGAACAGGAGGGTGTTTCTCTTGCTCCCTTCTCCACAACTTCCCAATTCTATCTTCAACCAAGTAAAAGTTCTTTTTCTACCTCCCCTTATGGAAAACAACGTCTTTTTCAGACACTAAACACACCAAGACACAGTGTAAATTTGGGGGGGTTTAATCCTTACAAACGTTTGAACAAATCACTGAGCAGACAGTGACACAAACAGACCTTCCAGCAGTAACAGGCACCCAATGGATGGTATTTTCCTGAATTCAGGCCCAGGTTCTCTTGGGATTCAAGAGTGAAGGAGAAATGTGATTTACTATCAACAAAGCCTGGTGCTCTTGGCAGCAGAACTCCCTCACTTGGCCAAAAAAAAGAAAAAATAAGAAAAAAATTCTGATTTTACCTACAAAAAATCTACAGATTAATGAAGATTAGAGGTGAATTACTATATCCACATGGGTTAATCCCAGTAAGTCCCCTCTTCTTCCCATATTTAACTGGTAGGGTGAGGAAGGAATCACAGCTGCCCAGAGGCAGAGCCCAATCCTCTAACTGGACCACCACAGATGAAGCAGGGGAATGGGAACCAAATCTGGCTACTGGATTAACAACTTCAAAGTGAGGGCAAACAATGCCATTGAGGGAGGTTGAAGCTCCTCACTCCTGTCTGCTGCTGGGTAGCGCCGCTGGTTCTGGGAGGCTTTAGTTTCTTTCATTTCTTCTGTTTGGGTAGGAGACTGTCACTGAAAGGAGACAGAAAAGAGTCATTAGTCCAGAAAGCACAAAGCTGAACCAGACCTACGCTACAGACTTGGGAGTGTGCGGTGTCACATCCAAAGGTTATGGGCTTCCACGTTCTTCCTCCCAGCAAAGCCCCCTGAGCCTTCTCAGATGAGTAAGACAGAATCTGATCAAAGGTAAAGAAGCATCAGAGATGCCAGGGAAAAGAAACCATCTCTGGCTTCCCTTTTTGATTCTAAGAAATGTAAGTTTTCAGCTGTTCAGCTGGCACTGCCTTGTCCATAAACACTGGACAGGTTACCCAAAGCCACCAAACTCCTGCCAGCTCTGAAAGCAGGGAATGGGGTTTTCTAGGATGGAGTTGGAAAGCTTTTGGTGAGAAACGAAAGCACCTTTTGTAGGATCATTACCTCAACCACAATTCCCACAACCATCTAATTGCCTTCTTACAGCCTTCTCTGCCATACATGCAGAACGCCCTGTCTACATAGGGACACTCCTCAGTTACTTGTTCCTGCCTTTCCCATACAAGGTTCCCTACTGGACACACAGAGAGCTCCAGTTACTGACTATACCCTCCTTGTTCTTGCAGGTAAGGTTTCAAGCTTCACATCACTAATGGGATTTGAGGTAGACATGGAATAAACTTCCCATGGCCACAAAGGCCCAAGCCAGAAACATCCCAGGCACCAGGCAAACATCAACACCCCTGTTCCAAGTACACAAAACGAAAGGACCAAAAGAAACAGTGCCTCACCTTCCTCTGCGTGTCAGGAGATGCAGTAATGGGGAAAGGGGGGGGAAACAAAGAGTACATCGATTAGATATAACAGTTCAACAAAAATGTCATTTCTTAAGTAAGACAGACAGCTCCCTGCTTAGCTGTATCCTCTGGGATCAGCTTCACAAGCAGGGTGCAGATAAACGCAGCCATCTGGCCCCTTTACCTGGTGAAACCCTCATCCTGCAGGTTCAGTACCAGGTTATCTGCTGTGAGATACACACGGTTTTGTGAGGCAGCAATCTGGAAAAAGAAATCCATGACAGAGATGGCACAAAGAATACAAATGCACATGCAACACTGATCAAGAACTTCTCTCCCCCTCTAGATACAGCACTTGAGACCTCAGTTAAATCAATGCAATTCCCCAAAACAACTCTGGACTTTATCCCAGTGCCATCAGACATTCTGAAAGAAGTGCTCATTCCGTCTCTCTGCCAGAAAGACCTTTGATCCCACACTTATCTGTTCCCCTTTCTCAGCCTGCAGGAAACCAGGAGCTTTTGGTGCCTGCAGCTGAGGGTGGGTGATGGAATCTGATGTGGATCTGGCCTTGTCATACGGAGGGCGTGAGCTCCTGGCCTCACCTCTAACTGCCGATCATTGCAAGCTAAATCTTAAGGTCTACTTGAGTAGAGAAGGGTTGCACAGGAACAGAGATCAGGACAGGGCAGGTCACATTCGCCTTAAACTCATCATGTGGCCACTGGGCTGAGCAAACAGCTCCGGGACTTGCAAAAGGACAAAGGGAATTCCGTGCTCACCGTTTTGGAGATGTTTTGAGCAGCTCGGATCTTACGTAGCTTGATGTAGCCTGGATTCCTGCTGAGAGCTTCCCCCAGGTGCAGCAGAGCCAAAGTTAAGGAAAATCCTAACAAAAGCCATTTAACCTCAAGGAATTCTTCCTAGAAACATCCTAGGGTGGAAAGCAATCTCCATCTAACATGGACCTCTGGGCAGGCATATTTCTACTTCTCTAAATCAATAACAACATTATGGATTATGGTCACACACAGCCAATAGAAGCTAAACCTTACAACAGGGAGTGAAGGCTCATGGCCTGTAAGCTCAGACAAATCAAACTCCAGCCAACTGTAGGGTGAGGATGATAAACTGCGACCTACTTGAAGCTATCATCTTGTAACAGCCTCCTAAGCATGGACCCGATGTGACAGATTGTGTCAAGCTCACAAGCCACATCCCACAAAATCTCCCAAAGCAGGATATCATCTTAGCAGCTGTAGCTTCCCCTTCAGCTTGAACAATCTTCTGCTTCTGCTCTTGCTTGGCCTTCTCCACCAGAAACTGTGCACGCTGTGCCTCCTGCTGAGCTGCAAAGAGAATGGCCAAAAGCACTGGAAATGGATTCCATCTTCAGAACCCTTCACTGAACTAGAACCCTGGAGCTGAGGCCTGGGGACTCTGCTTCCAGAAGCACTGATGGCATTCTGGGGCCAGATCTGCAACTGTGAAATGCATTTGAGTGTCCTTTACTTTTGCCTTAGATAAAGTTAGAAGCAATCAGACCCTCTACACATAATCCCCACAGTAAGTGGTGAGAGTCCCAGCCTGAAGAGTAAGCCTGGTCTTGGGAGCTCAGTCCCTCTGATGGTCTATCCCATTGGCTATAGCCCAGAGTTTTCTGACAGCGTTTATAAAAGAGGCTTGGATTGATCATTCTGTAGCTGTATCAATGCAGAAGCAGAGACATGCCAACCCAAATTCGGATTCCTTTAGCCCAAATCCTGCTTCCTTGTTCATCAGTTCAGAGGAAGGGCAAAGGCAGCACTCCACTCTTTTCAGGCATAAATGGAACTCACCCACTTGCTTAGCTTCCACAGCTGCTGTGTATTCACGACTGAAACTAAGCTCTGTGATAGCCACATCATCCAGGATGAGGCTGAAGTCTTTGGCTCTCTCTGTCAGTTCTCGCCTAATGAGCAGAGACACCTGAAAGACAAAGACAGCAAGAAGAGTACAAATACAGCAAGAAGAGTACAAACACAGGCTGCTTCACCCTCCTGTGCACCCCACAAGTGAAGCACAACTGCTCCTCACAGAGAGAGAAATTACCTAGAACAAACCCTGAACCATGGCCATTTATCATTAATACCACCTCTGAATCTGTCGCTGCATAGCCAAAGCTATGTATCCAAAAGCATATCACATCTTATTTACAGTTATTATTAATTATACAGTTCATATTGGAAAAATAAATCATCTGGTTTGGGTTTGTTTTTTTGCTGTCACATCCTACCACATCCAGTGCCACAGTTTCCATGTTTCAGGTTTTGGCAACAAGTATTTCCTTGTCCACCTTGCATTTGCCACTGTTGGCAGTTTGACTGTCTCCTCACATCTGTATTCAGATGCAGGGGAAAAAAAACCCACATCATTTTTTGTTAACTATGTATCACATCTCTCTTCGTTACTGTAGCAACTCCTCCAGTGTGGGTACTCCACTTGCATCAGTCTCTTTGGAAGAGTGGTGTTGGTAGGTATTTTTGATTGGTTCTACCTTTAACTTGTCAGCATCTTTCTCAGGCAGGCTGACAAGTCCTGCACCAAAGACTGGCTTCAGTAAGTGGCTGCTGCAGTATCACATGCTGGGCCAGCCTAGTATCTGCTTTTACTCCTGTTGCAGCTGTTTCTGAGCACAGCTCTAAAATGCTGCCAGAAACCTTCACTGTGTGAGCTGCAAGTGCATAACTGTAAAGTCAAT